CCATTCCGGGTGCAGCTGGTGGCCAGGCTGCTCCTGCCAGGGTGGAAGCCTGCGAGCTGCCCTTGCACTTCTCAGACCTGCACCAACCCTACCTCTGGCCTAGTGCCTGCTCCAGGCTCTCCAGGCATGTTTCTGCAAATAGGTTGGTAGGAAACGGTGGTGAGACCGAAGGAGAAAATAGAACAGTGTTGAGTATAGCATGGAGCTTTTGTCTCACAAACACATGAAGTTCTCTTTAATTCCTGGCACATAGAAATCATTGAATACATTTCGGTACCCACCCCTTTTCTCTCCCTCTCCACTACAACTGTCCATCTGGGTTCACATTGCTGCACCCCTGGACTCCCCTAGGGCTCTCTCTTTTTCCCTCTGATACCTTACTTCTCCTTATCCTGAAGTCACTGAAGTACAGGATTTCGCTCACACTGGGCTTCTATGTATTTGGGAGCCAGGGAGGCATGCTGCTGTGTCTGTAACTTAGGCTTCTACTGAAGCACTGTGTTGTGGGCTGAATTGTATCCCCTCCCCCTGTTCGTATGTTGAGCCCTGACCCCCAGTGTGACTATCTGTAGATAGGGCCTCTGAGGAGGTAATTAAAGTTAAATGAGGTCATAAGAGTAGAGCCCTGATCTTATAGAACTGGTATCCTAACAAAAGACAACCCCAGAGCCCTCTCTCTCTTTCTCTCTGCCAAGTAAGGACACAGTGAGAAGGCAGCTGTCTGCAAGCCAGGAAGAGAGCCCTTGCCAGAGCCTGACCATGCTGACACCCTGATCTTGGACTTTCAGCCTCCAGAATGGTAAGAAATAAATATGTTGTTTAAACCACCAGTCTACGGTATTTTGTTATAGCAGCCCGAGCTAATACATGCTGTCAGCTCCTCTCCATGTGTGCACTTTCTGTTCCAATCCATCTGGTAGAAGCAATCCAACTGCTTCTAGAATCATCGTAAGGCATCACTGGGAAGAGGCTGATCAGGGCGACTTGCCCAAGGTCCCACCATTGGTGACTGCCAAACCCTGGCTTCTGATTCTCACTTTAGCATCCTTTCCCTGCAATGGGCCAACCACTATTCCGAAAATAAGTCATGAAGACCTCATGATACCAATCCCTAGGAGCAAAGACATAAATACAGTAAAATAAATAGCTCAAGCATGAATATTTAAGCCCAGGACACACTGGGGTGTCTAATTATTTTTTTGCTATGCTGATCAGAGCAAAAAAAATTCATAATTATATGTGTATATCATAAGTGGTGCTAGAAATAAATGAATCATCATAATCATCATAGGTACATGTTGGCAGTGAAAAGAAAAAGTTGATTTCATGTCAAGTAGCCAAGGCTAATATTTTCTTCACAAACTCCTCTTTTGCTGTGGACAAGCAATTCAATGTGTGTTAGAAAAGAGCAGGACTGAAAACGGGGCAACTGGCTCACAAACTCCTCAAACTCCCACGCTCAGGTGACTTCCTCTAATGAAAAGCGCCCCCATTCAGAAGTTGAGGAGCTTGCTGAGTAGAGAGAGCCAGAGCCCTGACCAAACGGTCCTAGCATTTCTCCCTGAGGAGTTTTCGAAGCCTGTCTTCCCAGCCAACCAGCCTTAACTCTGGAAACATTCCACCTTTCAGTCTATGCCATGGCTAGATGCCAGCCAAGGTAGCATAACCTGTGATGACTGTAGAAGAGAAATGGAGCTGGACACTAGTCAAGGACAGTAAGGACAATAAAGATTTTATTCAGGACCATTGCCGTGGAGGAAAGAGCTGAGCTCAATTCCGAATACAAGGACAAATGGGGATTTATAGGTAAGGAGCAGGGTGGGCCTGGAGCGAGGCTGGGGGTGTTGGTGGATGGAGAAGGACTAGAGGAGACAGTCAGAGGCAGAGGGTATCTTCATAAACCAATATAATAGGGTTCTTGCTGAAGGCAGGCCCAGGGTGAGGGAGGGATAACGGTTCCTTTGCTCAGATTGGCTTAGGCAGGCCCAGGACAGGGCTCAAGGACAAGGCCTAGTTGCATAGAGGGTCAGAGGAGCCTGTCTAAAGTTTGGTCAAGGAGCAAGTCCTTGTCATAACTACTATCAGACAGGAGGAAATGCAGACAAGATTGCCCTTAAATTAGTGTGAAGAGTGTGTGATAGGGCAGAATACATGTCACAAACCAATTTTAAAGTGGTGGCAGGGCTGGGGGGGGGGGAAGTACTCAGAGAGGGAGGGCAGGCCCAAGGGGCCCTCCCTGGGGTCGCTGACGCCAGCCTCTGGAGTGGGACTCGCTGCCCAGTTTCCCTGCGATTGTCCAGAGCGTGGAAAGCTGATTACAGATGCCCACTCTCCAGTCACCTTTAGATGCCCCGTAAGGAAATTTGGTATGAACTGACTTTGCATGTCCTAGCTGGGGAAGGAGGGGACACCTAATCCTGTTTCTGGGACTCCATTTGTGGATGTTCCTATGTGCACTCTGCAGAGGGAAAAGCGAAGGAGAACTTGGCTCCAGCAGAGGCAGGAGAGAGGACAGGGTTTCTTCTGCATCCCATGGTACCTGCAGCCCGCTCCCACCCCAAGTAGGATCAGGGGATGGAGTTAGGAGGCAAATGACACAAGTTTCATGTAACACGAGGGGTGCCCTTTAGATGTGGAGCTAAATGCATCAGCCAAACTGTCCCTGAGTCTGTTGTGCACGCATTTGAGGCAGAGACACCTTCCTTGTACACATGCAAGCATCACGCAGCTGGGCCAAGAATATCCTGGTAAGGGCGGGCAGGGTCGGGGGCAGGGGGAGACAAGGGCACCCACCCCTTCCACAGAACACCAGGACAGGCAGTATTCATACAAACGATTGGGAATTTTACTGTTTACTTTAACTCACTGTTGCGTTCAAGGATAAAAATTCAAATAGATCGAATTACAGTCTGGGTGATATTTAGAGTTTAGCTGTATTTCATTCCTCTTATTTCTAAGTTTTTACAAAAGCCAGGACCTCCACATGCAGGATTTATGCTGCTCACTGCTCCTCTCCATTGTTTTCTGCGATTCCTCTGACCCGTTTTGCCCTGTCTTCCAGGAGCACAGTGCATGAGGCTGCCGCAGCCGCCATCAGTTCGGTTTCCCTCCGCTGCGCGCGCGCTTTTGACAACCGACGGACCGGGCAGGTGGAGCCGGCCGTGAGCCGCGCTCGCCTGTGCCCTCTTCGTTTACCTGAGACAGGAGGAGCCAGCGCCCGCCGGCGGCCCCGGGGCAGGTTCCCATCGACCTGCCCCGACGTCTCCGACGCCTCGATCTCAAACTGCAGCCCTGCCCATGGCTCCTCTCTCTTCCCTGCATGGCACATGCCACAGCCTCCCTTATTTACTTTTGTGGCCCGCGCTGGAACGCTAGCTCCAGGCAGGGCGCGGGCGCCACTCAGGAGGAGGCAGGTACGGCGGGCGCCCAGCCGGGTGGGGTCGCTCCTGCTGCGGGGAGGGGTGACCTTCCGTCCCTTACCCGGGCTCCGCCGCTGGGTCTGCGAAATTAACTGACAACAGGCAGATTAATAGGAGAAAGGGTGTAGACATTTGTTAATTTTAGACGTTACCTGCATGGGCGCACCATAGGGAAAAAAGGCGAATCCCCAAAAGAGCGATTGTAAGAACATGACCTAAGTGATGCGTTTTCAGAAACAATGCGGGCCCGGCCCCGAGTGGTCCGACTGGTCCGTTCCCGGGGGTCGCTGAACAGGTAAGTTGTCCCTGAGCCGGTAACGAGTTACCAGCCCTTCGTTGTTCCCTTCATTTCCCGACGTTTCTCCTTTCACAGGTCTTGGGTGCGCCTTTTTCGCGGGCTTGTCCTGAGCCCTCAGACAAAGGCATTTCCTACCAGGGGGCAGTGGGGTGGGGTACGCGCGGGCGTCCTGGGGAACACTGCGCGCCCCGCAGTCCTCCCGGCCGGTGAGGGGGCGCGCCAGGGGACAACCTGCTGCCGCAGCCCTTTCCCGGCGCCCGCCCGTCGCACACCCGAGCCGTGCGAGGCCGTGATGAGCGTGTCGCTTCGCTGGGCGTCGTGTCGCCGTGTGCATGCCTTGGCCTCGGCCGGGCCAGGGCGTTTCTCACAGCGATGAGACCTGAAAGCTCATGTGCCATCCTCACAGGGCAAAGGGAGGGGAGGAGGCCACTTAGGGGAGAGCAGATGCTTGTTGGGAGAGACGATGGGTCGCTGGAGGCGGGGACGGGAGACGTGAGGGCCTGTGACGCGTCCGACTGTGGGTCGCCTGCTCTCCCGTGGTGAGCTCGTCTTCCCCGGTCGCTGGGGAGCGGGGTGTATGGACGTCTCTGGGGGATCCGTCTTCAGGCAGGTAAGGGGAGTTCAAGACAGTGTTTCCCCGGAGTCCTGGAGGAGGTTGGGGCGGTTCTGTGAAAACGCTTCATGTGGAGAATGAGTATGAACGACGCGGCAGGCACTGTTTGACGTGAGAACCCCGCCGGGCCGGGACGAGGGGCAGGGAGCAGGAGTGTCGCGCGGGGCCCCGTTTCAGCGAGAGCCAAACATCAGCATAAATGATGTTCTAATGTAGCGCAGTATTTCAAAATTAAAAATTAATGCAAACACATTCATGATGAACAAAATATTAAAAACTTGAAGGCAGTGAAGGAAACCAAACCGTGCCGCTGTAGGCTGTTTGTCACTCTGAGCTGAAGGCACTTGAGAAACAGGCGGTGCAGGCGAGGCTTTCTCTGAACGCCGGTTCCCCACGGCCGGGACGCGGTGTCGGCGAACACGTGGAAGGGACCGAGCCCGGGTGCGAAAGAGCCCGCTCGGGCCCTTTCCAGGCTTAAGGACCCTTCCCCTCCTCGCTTCATCCTTCCGGGCTGGGAGCTCCACGGCAGGAACCCAGTGCGCTAGGGAGTCGGCGGCGGGACACCTGCGCCCGCGGGGACCCGGGCAGCGCGGGGCTGGGAAGAGCGCGCCAGTGGGAGGGGGAGGGGCGGGGG